CCCTCGCGCTCTACCGACTGAGCTACATCGGCGACAACGCCAAGCCCCAAACCCTAAACCCTAAACCCTAATACCATTACCCTCAAGCGGATTACCAAAGCAGTGGCTTCTGATAGTGTCGGAAATCTGCTGTGCGTGATCTTATTTAGGCAACACTCGAGACTGCTTGGTGCTGCATCCTGTCTCCCCTGATCCTGTTGCTGCTGCTGCTGCATGCAACGTGTACATCTCGATGTGGGGCATCCGGTACAGTAGGATTTTTCATCTCTTTCTTCTCTTGTATTTACCGTATCTTGTGTATTGGCTTCAGCTCAGCAGCGAACGCTGCGCGGGCTGTGATGGTGCTGCTGCCGTTGCTGCTGCTGCTGCTGCAACGAGTTTAGGGTTTGTGCATGCTCAACATAGCAACCACACAGCGCAGCAGTTCGTCAAGTGGGAACGGCTACACTGGGGAGGGGCGCCTCTCTGGGGAAGAGAGACAGCTTAAGCCCTGCCGTGGTGCTCCTTCAGTTGCATTGGGAAGGGCTCTGCTGCTTCTCCCTTCTCTGCTGTTGCTGCTGCTGCTGTCGCCGTTGATGATTGGAAGGCACCAGACGGATACCGCAAAGGCGGTTTCGCCCGCATTTGCTGCAGCTGTTGCTGCTGCTGCTGGTTCTGCTGAGCCCCACTACCTCATGCGGTAGCTGCTACTGCTGCTGCTGTGGGTATTACCTCGCAACCACGCCGCCTCTCACTTTCCTACAGCACCAGTTAGCAGCACCAACAGCAGCATTAGCAGTTGCGCCTGAGGATGCCGTTGCGCATATTCCTACACTCGCTTTTGTTTCTGTTTCAAATTATCTCAGCTGTGAGCAACAGTGGGAGCTGCTGCTTGCAGCTGGCTGCCTAATACCGAATATATTAAGATTGAAGGCCTGGAGTTTAGCGGCATATGCACCACAACATTTCAACAATTTGAATGGGAAGCAGAAAAATAAGATGAACAGCCGACGACGGGGCTCGAACCCGCGACCACGAGGTTAAGAGCCTCGCGCTCTACCGACTGAGCTACATCGGCGTCGGCCCCCGCGAAACCATAATAATAATAATTAATAATAATAATAATTAATAATAATAATAATAATAATAAATAATAATAATAATAAGAAGAAGAAGAAGACGAAGAAGAAGAAATAATAATAATAATAGGCCTCTGAATAAAATATGAAGGCAGCGGCTTTAAGCAGTTTTATTAGATGCAGAAGATGCTGCAACATATCACCCCACACTTCAAGATAGGGTGTCTAGTAGTGGCGTTTGTGCTGAAGTTTGCGTAGCTCGTAGATTAATAATTAATAAATAATTATTGGGTCTCTCCCTCTGCTGTACGCATGCTCAAAGAGCAAATGAAGTAAAGACATTTGCTGTGTCTAGCCCCAACAATAATAACAGGAATGCTATCGCAGCCACTGACTGGTGATACACCCTAAATGCAGCCCACTGAGGCATCTGCCCAGAGGCATTAAAAGGGTTCGCAGCTGTATATACACGAAAAGCTCGCTTGAGCGTGCGCTTTAACTTTATCTGCTGGCATCTCCAATAGGTTAGGAGACAGACGCTTCGTTATCGAGAGGAGCATCAGAAGCAAGTAGATATTCATACACCAATTCCTGCTGTGAAGCAGCATGTTGCTGCCTGCTGCACATCCTGCAGCAACTGCTGCTTCCAAGCAGCACTTAACGCCTCGACTTGCTGCACCCAAAGCCATTTTCAGCATGTGCAGAGACACTGTAAAAGGCTCGTAGATGCATCCCTGACCTTCAAGCGATGTGCGCACAAGTTAATAGATCGGCTAGCCTCCGAGGCAACCTGCTACACTGAAACCCTTATGCATATAGAGATGCTGCTGCTGCTGCTTTGTGCTGCTGCTACTGTCGGTAGAAGCCGCAGCTTCGGCCTAAGGAAGCAAAAAATAGTGGATCCCCAAAGCTCGTGTTGGGGCCCTGCTTGTTGACTAGCCAGATCTCCAGCTAGCTAGCTTGCTTCGCTAGCTGGCTGCTTCAAGACAGCTAACTGGCAGCAAAGTGCGGCATCACCCCACACCGCAGCAGAAGCCTGCTTCGCGATGGCTAGCTAGAGGCAGCCTCTAGCTACCCAGCTGGGCTGCCTGGAAAGCGCAGCTAGCTACCTACCTACGTGGGTGTCAGGGTAGCTAGATAGCTAGCTAGCTAGCTAGTTGGCTAGCTAGCTAGTTACTAGTTGGCTAGCTACCTAGCTACTAGTTGGCTAGCTAGTTGGCTAGCTAGCCTGCTAGTTAGCTAGGGGGGCAGCTAGCTAAATGTTAGGCTAGCCAGCTGGTGAGCTAAGTAGTTGGCTAGCTAGGCGTGGGTATGTGCTTGCCGCTGAGAAGGAGAGCCAGCTAGCTGGAGAGACAGCTAGCTAGCTCCCGTGCTGCCTAATAGAGCTGCTTGCAAGATATCAAAGCAGACAGCAAACCTGCAGCCCCAACAAAACCATCGCTGAAATTGCGTCGCAGCAACATCGGCGTTACACCCGCCATGTTTGCTGCTGCAGGGATGTCGCCTGCAGCAGCAGCAGCAGCAGCAGCACAAGCAGCAGCAGCAATAACGAAAACAGCAACAGCAGCAGCAATAACGAGGAGAGCAACAACAGCAGCAATAACGAAAACAGCAGCAGAAGCGGCAGCAGCAATAACGAAAGCAGCAGGAGCAGCAGCAACAGCAGCAGCAGGTGTAGTAACAGGAAGCAGATGCAGACCCTCAAACCCAGAGGCAAAAGAAGAAGTAAAGAGATACAGAAACAAACAAAAACAGAGAGAAACATAAAAAACATAAAAAAGAAGTAGAGGCGCGGAGACAGCAGAGGGATAGACAGAGACAGACGCATAAACGAAGAGACAGATATGATAAACAAATAAATTAGTTAATTAATAAAAATAAATAAATAAAAGCACAGAGACCAATGATATTAATAGACAGAGACAGCTGAGAAGAAGGAGAGACAGACAGAGAGACAGAGAGAGAGAGAGACAGAGCAAAATAAGACAGAGATAAAAATATAAAGAGATATTAATAGCAGCAGCAACAGAGACAGAGGCAGAGAGCAGCAGATAAGCAGCAACAGAGACAGAGAGCAGCAGATAAGCAGCAGCAGAGACAGAGACAGCAGCAGATAAGCAGCGAGAGAGATATAAAGAGAGACAGAGACAGATAAAATAAGCAAAACAAAACAAACAGAGACAGAGAAGGAGACAGTGAAGCAGATAAAGAGACAGTTAACAATAAACAAACAACGTACAGCACTGCTTCAGCAGGTTTAGCTGCAGAGCTCTGCGTTTGTGCTGCAGCTGCAGCTCCGCTGCTTCTGTAGCTTTGCCCATATCAGGCTCTTCCTCCCCTTGCTGCTGCTTCGTTGCTGCTGCTGCTGCTGCTGCTGCTGCGCGCAGCCGCAGCACCTCGCAGTACACTCCAGCCAGCAAAGCCATCAGCCTGCAAAAGCAGCAGCAAAAACCCCGACAGCAGCAGCAAAGTCAATAGCAGCAGCAGCAGCAGCAGCAGCAGCAGCAGCAGCACACACAACGCCAGTAGGCCTAACAATACCAGCAGCAGAGGGTGTAGCAGCAGCAGCAGCAAACCCAGCAGCAGTGGGTGTAGCCACAGCAGCAGCAGCGTCAGCATCAGCACAACCACCGCATCATCATCCTCATCATTAGCAGCAGCACAAGCAGCAGCACACGCAGCAGCAGCAGCAGCACACGCAGCAACAGCAGCATTACAAGCAGCATAACAAGCAGCATAACAAGCAGCATAACAAGCAGCATAACAAGCAGCATAACAAGCAGCAGCAGCAGCAAGAGCAGCACCAGAAGATGCCGGAGACTTTCGCGAGGGTTTGTGTATTGCGAGTAAAGACTCGCAGCTTAGACAGCAGAAAGGCGTTGTCAGACAGCCAGTACAGCAAGTATGAAAGCCGACATACACCCTGCAGCAGCTGCATTCAGAACAACAACAACCTCAAACCCTAATATTGTAAACCCTAATCATCTCAAACCCTAATGTTGTAAACCCTAATTGTCACAAACCCTAATAGAGAACGAAGAAAAGCTTCAGGTGCAGCAGCAAAGAAGCCACACCTAAACCCTAAACCCTAAACCCTAAACCCTATAGCCTAGAACTTGCGACGACGAAGGCATCCTCCGCTGTCAGCGTGCATGAGTAACAACCAAGGGTTTAGGGTTTAGGGTTTAGGGTTTGTGCTACCTGAATCTTTCTTTCAATGTCTGTTTCGGGTGTCTTTGCTGCAGCAAGCTTCAGCAGCTCCGCATATTCATTCACAAACTTTCCTAGACGAAAAAGCTTGCGGCTATCAGCGCTTGTTCCTACACGCAAAGATAAGGGTTTAGGGTTTAGGGTTTAGGGTTTAGAGTCTTCAGCATAGAAAAGGTGGCGATACCCTCTACAACCCGCTCTTGAGCAAGCCCCGCGCTGCTGCAGCAGAGGCATCAGCAATGATGCTGCAGTTTACAAATTAGGGTTTAGGGTTTAGGGTTTAGGGTTTACTGTAGACAGCAGCAAACTTCTCCGATATCTTCGAGCTGCTCGAAGCCCACGCCAACAGACGGCAGCCATACTGCAGCGCCTTTGTAACTTTGTCGCGACCCTCTGCAGCAGCAGCAGCAGCAGCAGCAGCAGCAGCAACACACAGGGGACAAGCGTGAAGGCAACCACCGGCGTATGCAGCAACAACAGAGTCACAAAAACAGCAGCAGCAGCAACAGCAACAACAACTGCAACAACAGGAGATAGCAGCAGCAGCAACAACAGCATCGGCAACAGCGACAGCAACAAGCGCTACAGCAGCAGCAGGAGCAGCAGCAACAGCAGAAGCAGCAGCAGCAGCACCTGTCTTGTTGAGGAAGGTGACGAGTCTGTCTACATCTGCGTAGGGGGCTTTTTGCAGTCGTGATAGCTGAAGGTCCATCTTGCTGTTTGCTGCTGCTGCTGCTGCTGCTGTTGTTGTTGCTGTTGTTGCTGCTGCTGCTGCCGCTGCTGCTGTTTTTATTCCTGTTGGTGTTGCTGCAGCGTCTTCTGCTGCTGAGGTTGCTGCTGTTCAAATGTGTGGGGTCGCCCGCCGTTGAGGTGGCGAGACACCTGGCGAGGTGTTGACGCAGCAGCAGCAGCAGAATGGGGTGTACAGACAGTAAAGGTTAGACAGCAACACAGCGAAACAGCTTCTCTTTGAATTGTTGCTGCTGCTGTTATTACCGCTATTGCTGCTGGCTGCTGCTACAGTTGCTGCTGCTACAGGCGTTTGTTTACACAGACACGCCCGACCGTTACGCCTCCTTCCGCTGCTGCTGCTGCTGCTGCTGTTGCTGCTGCTGTTGCTGTTGCTGTTGTTATTGAAGCTGCCTACACCCTTATTAATTGAATGTTATACTCTTAATGCTATTTTAATAAGGCCTCGAAGGGGCGCCTCTTTGCTGTTGCGGTCTCAGCAGCAGCAGGAGACACCGTCGCAGCAGCAGCAGCAGCAGCAGCTGCTGCTGCTGCTGCTGCTGCTGCAGGTGTTGCTGCTGCTGCTCTGCTAGAGGGCTCTGCCCTGGGCTGCTGCTTGCTGCTGTCTCCGAGGCATATTGATATTTGTTTCTCGCAGCTAATTTAATTTTTGACTGTTAATATTAAAGAAATAAAACAAAGTGCTGCTGTTAGTTGTGTTGCTGCTGCTGCTGCTGCCGCTGCAGTGGTTGCTGCAGCTGCGTACGTCCCAGGGCTCTTGCGGCTGCCTTAGCAGCAGCAGCGGCTGCCGCTGCATGCTGCAGCAGCAGCAGCACTTGTGTTTCTGCTCCAGAAAAAGGAGTTTGTTGTTTATTGACTATCAGCTTGCGGTAGCAGCAGCAGCAGCTGCTGCAGCAGCAACCACAGCACTTGCTGCTGAGCCCACCACACGTTCCCTTCCCCCCGCAGCACGGGGCTTAAAAGAACAGCAGCAGCAGTTGCAGCAGCAGCAGCAGCAGAAAACTGCTATTTGTTAGGGTTTTCAGGCTGAAGACGTTGGGCCCGTGACCTTGGCTGCTGCTGCTGCTGCTGCTGCAGCTGCTGCTCCTACGGGTGCCCTTCGAGGTGCTGCTTGTACTGCTCTCTCCTTTCTCTATACTACTACTGCTGCTGCTGCTGCAGCAACAGCAACAATGGGCCGCTCCCCCTCTCCTGTAGCCAGGAGGCGCTCACGCAGCCCTGCTGCTGCAGATCGTAAGAGGCGACACCGGCGCAGCCGCAGCCGCAGCAGCAGCAGCAGCAGCAGGCGCAGCAGCAGCAGGAAGCACCACCGCCGCAGCAGCAGCGGAAGCGCGCGACACCGCGTTAAGGATCGTGGGGGATCTCGGGGGCGCAGCAGCGCAGCAATAGCAGCAGCAACAGGCAGCAGCAGCAGCAGACAGAATCGGCGCCGCAGCCGCAGCAGCAGCCCTCGCAGACGCAGCAGACGAGATGTAAGTCGCAGCAGCAGCAGCAGCAGATTCAGACGTCCTTTGCGTCGCTCTCCTTCAGTGCAGCGTCCTTCTGCTGCTGGAGGGAGAGGGTTTGGTGCTGCAGCATCTAGGGGCACATATGGTATGGGCAGCAGCAGCAGCAGCAGCAGCAGCTTCCGAGCGACGAATGGATCTGCTGCTGCTGCTGCTACTCCCCCTGTCTCTTATGGATACGGTGCACGAAGAGGGCCTCCTAATCTGCTGCCGCCGCTGCCAGCAACAGCAGGCTCAGGGTTAGGCATTCGTAGTGTGGGGCCGAGCAGCAGCAGCAGCCCTTGGGGTTTCGGCAGCAGCAGCAGCAGCAGCAGCAGCAGCGCGGGATGGTTCAGCAACGTGCCTATACACCCCAATGACCCTCGTGCTGCTAATAGAACCAACTGGAGAGGCGGGTCTCCGCCCCCAGAGTTTTTCGCTGCAAGATTAAAGTTAAGAGGAGACATGCAGAAGGCTCAGGAAGATAGAATGTTAAGAAGAGCTCAGAAAAAGGGTTCGCCTCAAACCCTAAACCCTAAACCCTAAACCCTAGGCGATCTAAACCATAAGGGAGCTGCAACAGACACGAGCAAACACACGCAGGCATACGATTCATTACTTGGATACCGCACCTGTAGAAATTATACAGGGTTTTGGGTTTAGGGTTTAGGGTTTAGGGTTTGGGGTTTGTGTGTCTTCAGCGGCTCGGCGGCAGCAGCTACGTGCAGTAAACCGCGAGAAGGAGCCGCCCTTCTTGCTGCGCGTTTTTTGTCGTTTAGACTCGCAGCATTCAGTAGAAGAGTTTAGGGTTAGAGGCCAAGAGCCTGTTCAGGATGAACTGCAGGTACACCCCAAATAAGGGTTTAGGGTTTAGGGTTTAGGGTTTAGGGTTTAAGGGATGGGAAAGGGGAAGAGGGGACGGGAAGAGGGTAGGCGCAGAGACACACCGTTTAGGGTTTAGGGCTTTGGGTTTAGGGTTTAGGGTTTAGGGTTTAGGGTTTAGGGTTTAGGGTTTGGGGTTTGGGTTTTCAGGTGTACGCGTGGATGGACACACGCCTGCGCGAAATTTGTTATTTAATTAAAGACGTCTGTGCAGAAGCGAGAGATAGAAAAGCGCTGTGGCAGTTTAGGCTCTGCTACCCCGGTAAACCCTAAACCCTAAACCCTAAACCCTCAGCAGATCCTATACCCTAAGCCCTAAACCCTGAGCAGATCCTAAATCCTAAGCCCTAGACAGAGACCCTAGGTCATACACCCTAAACAAACCCTAAACCCTCAACTAATCCAGAAGACTCAGCGGAATGAAGTCGTGCCCTAGGGTTTAGGGTTTAGGGTTTAGGGTTTAGGGTTTAGGGTTTGCTTGCAGATAAAGAAGGGCAAAATGTATTTGCTGACGTCGGTTTGCTGCACTCTATCATACCCGATCCCAAGGAAGACTCTCGTACCCTCGCGGTAAACCCTAAACCCTAAACCCTAAACCCTAGCTGAGTTGGGTGTTATGTTGCTGCACGCCCGCAACCCATTTCAGCATTGTTTGCCTCCCCCCCAAACCCTAAACCCTAAACCCTAGCGGAGAAGAGTCTGTCTGTCTCTCTTTCTTTCTGGTGCGTCTGTGAAGTGTTTGTGCTGCTCGAGGGTTTAGGGTTTAGGGTTTAGGGTTTGTGGTTTGTGGTTTATGCAGGACGTGAAGTTTCAAGTAGGCGACTTCTTAGTGTTATCGATTTTAAGGAAGCAGAGCAGCAGCAGCAGCAGCAGAAAGCTTGCCCCACACCCTGACCCTAAGCTGAAGATGCAAGAGGGGTGGGTATACACCCCAAGGCCTTCTGTGCTGCATCAAGCGCTGCCTTATGCTCCTCCTGCTGCTGCTGCTGCTGCTGCTGCACCTGCGGCGGCGGGGGCAGCGCCTCCTGCTGCTCCTGCTCCTGCTGTGGAAGCAAAAGGAAGCAGCAGCAGTGCTGCAGCTGAAGACGCAGCAAACCAAGACACAGATATGGTTGTGGATAAGGAACCTGCTGCAGATGCTGCTGCTGCTCCTAAACCAGCAGCAGCAGCAGCAGATGAAGACACAAGCAAGCAGGCTGCTGCACAGCCAACGGAGGATGCAGCAGCAACACCAACAGCAGCAACAACGACGAATCAGCAGCAGCAAAAGGAGAAGCAGCAGCTGGAAGGTCGTTCAGAGGAGCAGCAGCAAGAAGAAGAACAGCAGCAGCAGCAGCAGCAAGATGAGCAGCAGCAGCAGCAACAGCAACAAGAGGGAGAAAACCTGGTTAAGTCGCCAAGGTACGGTTGTCTGTATTTGCTGCACCGTATAGACAGTAAGCTGCTGCAGCAACAGCAGCAGCAGCAGCAGCTGCTGCAGCAACACCATCCCTGTCTGCATCTTTGCTTCTACTGTTGCTGCTGCGGTGTACGTGCAGCGAGGAGCAGGAACCCGCAGAAGAAGAAGCGGCTGTCGAGGCTCCTCAGAAGAGCAGCAGCAAGAAGAGTAAACCAGTCGTTGCAGAGAGCAGCAGCAGCAGCAGCAGCAGCAGCAGCAAGAAGGGAAAAGCAGCTGCGTCGGAAAGCAGCAGCAGCAGCAGCAGCAGCAGCAGCAGCAAGAAGGGGGAGGAGGCTTCTAAGGCAGAGGAACCTTCTACGAAGCGGCGCTCAGCTCGCCTCGCCAAAGATAAAAAGTAAGTGCAGCAGCAGCAGCAGCAGCAGCAGCCGCAGCAGCTGCAACAGCAGCACTTACAGTAGCAGCACGTGCAGCAGCAGCACGTGCAACAGCAGCAACTGCATCAGCAGCTGCTGCAACAGCAGCTCCTGCTGCAGCTCCTGCAGCAGCAGGAGAAATATGCAGCCTACAGCGGGAGCAGCAGCGCGTCTTCATGCTGCTGCTGCTGCGGAAGAAGTGCTGCAACAGCAGCAGCAGCAGCAGCACTCTGTTGCAGCGTCTTCATTGACGTCGAATTTGCTGGCAGCAACAAATACACCACCCAACGCAGCAGCAGCAGCAGCAGCAGCAGATGCAGGTGCAGCAGCAACTGCTGCTGTTGCTGCGCAGCGTATGGAATTCACATTTATCTTGGCATTTAAACATGACTGCTGCTGTTGCTGCTGCTGCTGTTGCTGCTGCTGCTGTTGCTGCTGCTGTTGCTGCTGCTGCTGTTGCTGCTGTTGCTGCTGCTGCTGCTGCATTGCGGGGATGAGGGTCAGGGTATTACATCGAGAGAGAAGCAGCAGAATAAACAAATAAACAAACAAACACACAAATAAATAAACAAACAAATAAATTAATAAATAAATAATAAATAAACAAATAAACAAACAAGCAAAATAAATAAATAAATAAATAAATAAATAAGAGACCTGTCAGCCTTTATAGGAGAAAAATACATCTTTAAGAATATCTGTTTAATATATTATATATACAACTAGAGATATAATAATAATATATTATATATACAAATAAAGATATAATATTATATATACAGGTAAAGATATATAAATTATGTAATATACTATATTTACTAATACAGACGGGCATCAACAGACTGAGAGGGATGAAGCAACAATGCAGCAGCAAACGCGGCATGAGCAGCAGCAGCAGCAGCAGCATGAGCAGCAGCAGCAGCAGCAGCATGAGCAGCAAGGGCTGCATAGCTGCTTCTGCATGCATTGAGGGATCGGCCGCACACTTTATTTTCTTTCGACTGTATGCAGTGCTGACCCTTGCAGCAGCAAGTGCAGCAGCAGCAGGATGAGCAGCAGCAGCAGCAGCAGCAGCAAGGGCTGCAGCAGCAAGTGCTGCAGCAGCACTTCATTATTAATTACATTCTTTGTCTTTATGATGTTATTTATATTAATTATTTTGTTATATCTCCCTTTCTTATTCTTTTATTATTATCCAGTTGTCTTTACTTTATTATTATTTATTATATTAATTAATTAATCTTTAATTAATATTTAGTTCGTCTTTATTATTTAATTATTGTCGTCTTCATTCTTTATTTATATTTATTTGTTTTATTAATACTTCTTCTCTTATTTATTTTTGTGCGCTGCACTTTCTGAATAGAGATAATAAACCCTAAACCCTAAACCCTAAACCCTAAAAGCTGGGCACACACTCAGCTTTATTTAATTCGTGTCTTAATTAATACTTCTACAACATAAACCCTAAACCCTCATAACACAAAACCCTCTCTTACGCAAACCCGTTAGGGTTTAGGGTTTAGGGTTTGTGAGTTGTATGTTGACGCACCAATCTCAAACCCTAAACCCTAAACCCTAAACCCTAAACCCTAACTATGTGTGGAGGGCTCAATATCTTCGTTCCGCTGAGCTGCGCTGGTCTTGCAATTAGGGTTTAGGGTTTAGGGTTTAGGGTTTAGGGTTTGCTGCTGCCTCAGACAACGCCGGCTACCTTAAATAGCTCTTTTTTGATTTTTATGCTGCAGATGATTTAAATAAAATACAGAGAAGTAGAGAAAAAGGAAGAGAGACACAAGACAGCAGCAGCACCACCACCAGTAGCAGCAGCAGCAGCAACAGCAGCAGCAGCAGCAGCAAATCGAGATCGCTGGCTTAACCACCCCACCCCACTCTCAAACCCTTCAGAGGGTTTAGGGTTTAGAAATTAAGAGCTCTGATACGAAGCTCTGCTCCGCCTGTATGCAGCCAATACTAGCAGCAGCAGCTGCAGCTGCTGCTGCTGCTGCTGCTGCAGCAGCAGCAGCTGCTGCAGCTACCTTTATCTGCATGAGCGACAGCAGGCTAATATGGATAAGGACAGAGCGTCCTTCTGTCTTTCTTTATTACTCCCTCTGCCTTTTTCTTGTTGGCTTCATTCTGCTGCTGCTGCTGCTGCTGCTGCTGCAGTGGCAGCAGTCGAAGCAGCAACAACCGCAGCAGCAGTAGCAGCAG